TTAATTAGGTATATTAATCTTCCTAAATTCTTCAATATACAAAACTTCAATATCAAATTTTATATAATTGTATATTTGTAGGAAAAACAAGGATCATTCAAAGGTCATTTCGTACACCAATGCATTTTCAGGTATGGTGGCTATTTTTTTCTACTTTCATTTTATCTTATTAATACATTATACTTTAAAAAAATCTACCTTGATGTGATGTGGTGGCTATTTTTTTCTATTAAAACAATATAACCAGGTGTAAATCGTGTTTTATGTCTTAAGTTGTTTGTGTAACATTAAAAAATGTTTGTTGATTAAAATAAAGTACTTCAATTAAATTAAAAATAAAAAATAAAAAAATGGAGTGTTAGAAATGTTATTACTCCTTATTAAATGTTAAGATTAGATGCTAAATGGAGAAAAATGAAATGGCATGTAAAAAGCTGACTTGGCAAGGTGTTAAGGGTGTTACCACTCCTCTTAGCCTAAGTACCATTTTAACCAAATTTACCACCCCCCCCCCACCCCACCCCACCCCAAACTCAATCTAATTAGTATTTTGATATTTGATTTGACATCATTTATTTGTTTATTTATTTTTAACATTTGATTTGACATCATTAGGCTTTATATATATATATATATATATATATATATATATATATATATATATATATATATATATATATATATATATATATATATATATATATAAAATAAGATTAAAATATAAAATAAAAAATAATTAAAAATGTTTATATATAGTTGTTCAAATTTATAATGTCGTCCGATTTATAAAATGTTGTTTGAAATCTATAACAACAACAACAACAACAACAACAATAATAATAATAATAATAATAATAATAATAATAATAATAATAATAATAATAATAATAATAAAAATAATAAATATAATTAAAAATGATTTTATATAGTGGTCCAAATTTATAATGGCGTCCGAATTATAAAATTTTGTTCGAAATTTATAATAATAATAATAATAATAATAATAATAATAATAATAATTAAAAATGAATTAAAAAAACAAAAAAACAAAATAGAAAAAAACAAAAAAAAAAAAAAATCAAATGGTGAAATTATAAAAGAGAGGGATACTTACAAAAAAACCCATACATCATCTTTTATGAATAGGAGTTGTATCCCCATTAAATGGTAGTATGGACATTTATATCATTATTTTTTTTTCTTTTTCTTTAATTCCTATATATATATATATATATATATATATATATATATATATATATATATATATATATATATATATAACATTGACATAAGGACTAATAATAATGTAACTTGTATTAAACATCCAATAATTTTTTTATAAAAAAAGTAATATAAAATTATATAAATTAATTATTTATAATTAACTAAAGACAAAACTGCACAAATGGTCCCTGTGGTTTGCTCAAAATTACCACTTTGGTCCAAAAAAGTTTTGACTAGCACAACAAGTCCAAAGTTTTCATTTTATTGCGAGTTTGGTGCAGTTTTCTATAAACCTTTTCATAATGACTATTTTGCCCTTATATTTTTCTTTTTCAGTTTTTTTATTATTTAAATATTTATTTTGATTAAAAGAAAAAAGAAAATTTTCATTTTCTATTTTATTTTTATAATATTTTATAACAAAATAAAAAAATAAAAATGATCTCTCTCTCTCTCTCTCTCTTTCTCTCTCTCTCTCTGTGTGTCAAAATGCTTCACCCTATGATACGATTTGAAGAACCCAAACCACCACTAGTGGAGGTGATGACTGAGGAACTCCTCATCTGAATCTGGAATCGGATCTGGTTCCCACACCACCATTCTCTATATCTATTATATCTCAAATCACAATTCATACACCATCGTCGTTGATTTGTTTCACACATCACCATCACCAATTTTGTTTCAAATGCCACTTTTATGAAACCCTAGCACCGCCACCCTTCTCACTGGTCTCTTTTTTGAACATCGATGTCATCGAAAACCCTAGTGTTCACCCGATTTAGAGAAAGAGGAGAAGAGAAGAACACCCATATACAAATCGATTTTTTGGTGATGAATACCCACACACAAATCAAATTCCATAAATGAAAAAACACACACAAACATTGTGATTTCTGTAAACTAAAACATAAAAATTGTTCCAGCTAACTGAAGCTTTAAAATCCATCACAACGTCCTTCCACTGTTGTTCATCCACAGGAAAAAGATCGAGATAAAAGAAAAAGAAAAGAGATACACATTTGGAGACGAAGATCGAACATATATTGAATAGATTTAGCGCTGTCAGATAACCCTTCTTCTCCGACGATATAAGATCTATGAAGGGGATAAGCTAGGGTTTTCAACAATGATTCTTCTTCTTCGTCGTTGATGTAGAATCCTTCTTCCTCGACACTAGGGTTTCGTAAAGAGGTGGCGGTCCGATTGCAGGAGCAGGGAGGCGCATAACAATGGCGGTGATGGTTTTGCTGCTTCATCCTTGTTTCCAATCTATCTCCCCTCCGATCGAAGATGAAGTATGGTGGAAGATTATGAAGGCAAGCGATGGTGAAATGGTTATGTTGATGAAGGTCAGGGCCTGAAGATGGGGGTGCATTGTCGGCATTCTCAAAGAGAGAGAGAAGAAGGATCGATTGTGAAGAGGGATCGATTTTTGAGAAAAAGGGGCACATGCATGATAGAGAGGGTCTTTCTTTTTTATTTTATTTTTAATCAGAAAAACATTTAAATAAATAAAAAAACAGAAAAGGGAAATACCAAGGGTAAATCCGTCATTCTAAATATTTTTAAATCAAATTGGACCAAAGTCACAACAAAATGAAAACTTTGGACCTGTGGTGCTAGTCAAAACTTTTTTGGACCAAAGTGGCAATTTTGAGCAAACCACAGGGACCATTTGTGCAGTTTAGTCTTAACTAAAAATTGAAACCACATTATGCATCATAAGGATTCGAGAAAATTACACGGATGGTCCCTATGGTTAGGGGTTACTTGCATGTTCAGTTCCTAAGAGGTACTTTTAACTCGGACTGTCCCCAAAACTTATATTTGTTACCCGTCTAGTCCCTAAACTAACTTGTTGTCTATTTTGTTGTTAAACTATAATGAAAAGACATATCTACCATTACTTTATATTTGATATAGAATTATTCTTAAACAAATAAAAACCAAATAAATCATATTCCACCCCAAAATATACCCTCACACTCCATAACCTAGAAATGACACTTCGTTGAAGGCGCCATCTCCGATATGTCTTCAATTTGGTTACTCTCATATCTCTTTCCCCTCCCTTTGTAATTTACTCCACCTTCAGCTCCCATGTGATCGAAACCGACCCTTTTCCAAAGCCATCCAACAACAACGATTGGGTTTCAACTTCTGTAAATTAGTTTTAAAATTCGATATCCTCCCATGGCCGTTCTTCACACCATTATCTATGATCACGACCCACAATCGGTAAGTGTTTAACCCATATAGTTTCATGGTTAATGTGTCTAATCACATCTCATTCATTCAGATTTTTATGGGGTTATCTACAGAAAAATCTTAACTTTTTTCAAAAGTTTCAAGAAAATCCTAAAAGTTTTTTTTTTGAATAAAAAAGTTCTAATATTTTGAAAAAAATAATATATTTTATCATTTGTTGTTCAAATATATATATATATATATATATATATTATATATATATATATATATATATATATATATATATATATATTGTTAATTTAGGCAAAAAAACATCAAAATATTAGGATTCTTCTTTTTAAAAAAAAAAAAAAAAACTTTTAGGATTTTATTGAAACTTTTGAAATAAATTTGGAACTTTTATGTAGATAACCCGATTTTTATCTCATATAAATTTATCGGTTACAGATTTTGACAGTTTTATTTTATTTTGCTTCTTTCAGTTAAAGTCTTGTTGTTTGCGGGTTAATAGTGTATTGATTTACCAAAATGGATTAGGAAAACATTTTCCAACTATTACAGTAGTATCTTATTTGATATGTGATGATTTAGGTAGTTTATGGTCAATTTTTATGGTTTTTGGTAGACGTTTATGCATGGTTTATGGTTTCTTATTGAGGTGATTATATAGTTGTTGGAGCACATATTACCATATCTAACATTTACCAAATGTTATGTTACTATTCTTAATTTCGTTTGAAAGAAATGGTCTGAGTGACATGGCCTTGAAAAAGAACGACACGGTTCAACCAATAGAACCATTTCTATATATACGCTTCTCATTTCCTATCTACGAAGATTTCCCTCTTGCAAAACTTATTCCTCTTATGTCTCTCTAAAATTCAACCATCAGAACCGTGCCTCACCATCGATGCTACCACCATCTAACATTCCGTCACCATATGACATGTAACAGTCGGTTGTGGCACAAATTAATTCATGCTTATTCTTATACATAAATAACTTAATCAAACTTTACGGAAAATAGTCTGTAATTATTTAAAGTGTATCTAAAATTATAGGGCAAATTAATTTCAATCGCAAAAAGATCTCAACTTATATCATATGATGCCCACCAAGTACATTGATGAAGAAATCCAACGTACTTGTGCTATAACCATGGTTTCCCCGTAATTTGATCTTCGGTCCCAAGTTTGCGTACGTGTACACACACACACACACACATATATATATATATATATATATATATATATATATATATATATATATATATATATATATATATATATATATATATATATAACATTTTCCCTTAAAAATGACTTGCTTCATAAACATATTAATAATGTTACCACTTCATAAGTTATTGTGCGATATCTTAAAAGCACCAAGTTCCAAACATTTGTCTTAATTTCATGCTATAATCTCCGTTACTATGGAATTTGCTAGATAGGTTCATTAGGGTTTCACCATGCTAGAAAACAGGATAAATTTATTTACTAAAATATATAATTAATTATCATAAAATATATACATTTTTATTAGAGTTATGGTCATCAAATTAGTCAATGCCAAGTTGACACGGAAAAAAGTGGTAAGGTTCGCCACCCCAAGAAGAACCGGTCATTGAAAACTTCAAGATTGTAACCTTCTGATGGATAATGGAGTCTCAACAACAGCTTCGCCTGCGACACCGCAAATGGGCTAAGCGCAACGTTAACAAATCCAACACTTCTCATCATCACCTCCCATGATCGGAATCTTTCGTGTCTTTCTCTCCTATTCTCTCCCTCCACCGCCACTACGTCGACGATCTCTCTCCCGAACCACACTTGCTCCACCTCCATTCTCTCCCGACTGTTCGGCGGCAGCGTCGCCTCCAGTGAGTCAAAAACCTCTGTGTAATAGTGCAATGCCTCACCGAATCTAGAAAGAAACAACGGATGGTTATGGTTGGCCTCGTTTTCAGCTGTAGTAATCACTTTGGGGTTCATGGTTTTGATCTTTCTGAGTAACATAAAGAGGCTCTCTCGGTTTCTTAACATTCGGTGGAGGTAGAGCATGCAGTTTACCACTAAAATTTCACTGGGGAGGAGGATGACGGCGGAGAGGTGGTGGACAAGGTCGTCGACATTGTCTTCGTTTGGAACAAGGAGGGGGTGGAACCGAAAATTGAGACCGAGGGAGTGAGCGAAGTTGGAGAGACGATCGCCGGTTTTTCGGAGGTTATCGAGGTTGGAGCCGGTGGATGTGATGCGGAGAGTAGGAGTTGGAGGAGGGTAGCGGTCGGCGATGGCTTGCATTAACGGCGGCCACTGGACGCCGTGCATGATGTGGAAATCAAGTATGTGAATGTGTTGAGGATGATGTGATGAATCCATCGCTTCCAAGATAGCTTGATTAGCTGTGAGATGACTGAATCTAACAAATGGGGTTATTTGATTAAGTGAAAGATATGATGATTGAAGAGTTGCATCGTCATATCTATCACAATATCTAAAGAAATCATTACAACATAGCGGTGACGGATGGTGACGGAGGCGGAGGGAGAGAGCTTTAGTGAAATAGTGAACTAGTCGATCGGTGGAGTCGCCGTACGGAGAAGAGTTGGCGGAGAGGAAAGAAGTGAGGCGGTGAGCAGTGGAGAAGTCTGAACGGGAGATGAGTTGGGCGCAACATAAGAGGAGTTGACGAATGTCGATCTGCTGCCGGTGGTGGTGGTGATGGATCTACATGTAAGTATTGATATTGAGAGTGAGCGGATGAACCCAACATTTTTGACATAATATTGTTAAAAATCCTAAATTCCTTCACATTTGCATAAAAGACAAGGGACATAGATAATTGACAACGTAGGAGATGGAGTGACGCGACAAATTACATTCCCTGGCTTTTTATAAATAGATCTCCTATTTTTTTACAATATAAATGAAAGAAAAATAAACTTTTTTTAAGAAACCGTCAACCGTGTTTCAAACGACAAATGAACAAAGGTCTATCACATTACGTGTAAAAAAAATATAGATTCCACTTCTTTTATGATATTGATTGCAAATATATATAGACATGTTTATCAAATGGGAACTGATTTGTATTGTCCGGTAGTTAGTAGCAAATAACGGGTAATTCGATAGTTGGTAATTAATAACGTAATTTGTATTAAACATCCAATAACATTTTTATTACAAAAAAATTATTTAAGTTATTTATTTATAATTAGCTAAAAATCGAGAACACATTATGCATCATAATGATTGAAAAACTAATCTGTGATTAAAAAGTTTTTGACCGAACAATTTCCAAGCCATTTGCAATATTTCTTTTTTTTATTTAAATGCCCTAATGCTTAATTGGAGAGTGTTAGTAGAAAAATAACATGTTTTAAGATTACTAGTTTATAACCTGTATCCTAGATGGGGTCTGCATAATAAAACAATTTTAAAACTTAATAGATGTAATAATAGTTAAGAATAAATTCAAAAATAGTTAGTTTTTTTAGAAACTTGGATTTTTGAAACTGTATACTTGTTAATTTAAATTTAAAGAGTGCTTAAAATACCAACATACCTACACACAAACACAAATCATTTTTATGCTAATTATTTTAGGTTGACACTTAATTTCAAGTAACCCATTGAATCGGGCTAAAGACAAGGTAGAAAATCAACATTAGTATCCCTTCGTCATGAAGCTTTCAAAAGTTAGCGTTGAATATTAATTAATGAAATAAAAAATGATACTATCAGATAAGATAAGATTGAAATTAAAAATTTCTAATTCATAACTCTACAAATAATTGTTTGTACACAACATTTCGTTTCTCAAGTTTAATAATTAAATGCCAATAACAATTTACTAATGAACAAACACTTTGGATATTAAATCACTAAAAGAACAATCAAGGTTGAAATCTAGAAAGTATGAGAAACTATACCTATATAATCCTTGGTGAATCTACCGGCATCATGAATTCCATTGGACATTTCTCTTTTTTCATGGATACAGTCATTACATATATATAGATGCACACCTGTTATTCAAAAATAATTAATTAGAACATAGTATAATGGGAAAAAAATATATATAAAGAAAACATTCATACTCTTTAGGGATTTTCCGGCTTACCTATACTTTGTAGTGGTTAAAACCATTGTACTATTTTAAGTTTTAACCATTAAAAAAACTTTGTTTTGATAACCAGAAAAGAATGAAATACGTAAAACAGCATATTTTCACCTTTTACGAACGAAAGTTAACCTAATTGCAATGTCATTTTACTTATACAATCATGTAGAAGTATTCTTTTTAAGAGAATCTCTCTTCCCATAATATTAATGTGGAAATAAACATATTTGAGAATTATCAAATTTTCAGCAGATCGAATATATATAAATATGATTGCATCAATCTTTAATAACTTTAGTAAATTGTGAATATAAAAAGGTATGTTACCTCAAACTATTCTCCTTCATGATAAAGATCACCTTGTGAGGTGAATTTTGGTTTAGTTGATATTTGAAAAGCTACCTACACAAATAATTTCAAGATCCATGTATGTCAAAGGCTTTGAAAAAGACATGTTATGATTAAGCTACTTGTTTTTCTCCTTCTCAATATGAACCAAGAAAAGGAAGAAAGAAGAGAGTGTATTTGCTTACAAATTGAAGTATTTACCCTAGCTTCACATTCTCTTTGAAATCAAAGGATTCGGAATAGGTTAGATCAATACCCAGATCTATAAAATCAACACACATATATAGTTAAAAACACACACACACACACACACCGTTAAACACAAACATTCAGTAAATGGGCGAGAATGGAGAAAATGTAACACATACAAATAAACAGAAAGATGGAAAATGTACACAAGATCTCGCACAAAGATGGTTCACATACATAAAAACACATAGTTTAGTTTTTATTTCAAGCTACAGATACTGATTTACAGTCCACATAAGCCATAACCCATCAGGTACATAGATAAATGACAACAAATCCACATAAACAAAAAAAAAACATCAAGACATAACAATTGTGTTGAACTCATTAGAAGAATATGCAGGCAAAATTCCGTTCGTGCATTTCATCAAACACTTCCTGTTTACGTGAAGATATAGTTAAACACACACACACACACACACACACCGTTAAACACAAACATTCAGTAAATGGGCGAGAATGGAGAAAATGCAACACATACAAATAAACAGAAAGATGGAAAATGTACACAAGATCATGCACAAAGATGCTTCACGTACGCAAAAACACATAGTTTAGTTTTTATTTCAAGCTGCAGATTATGATTTACAGTCCACACATCAGGTACATAGATAAATGACAACAAATCCACATAAACAAAAAAAACATCCATACATAACAATTGTGTTGAACTCATTAGAAGAATATGCAGGCAAGATTCCGTTCGTGCATTTCATCAAACACTTCTTGTTTACGTGAAGAAATAACCCAGCACATACCAGAAACCTAATAAGCAAGGATGTTTCCAGCAAGACGGTGAAGATTTTAAGGATTAGTGTCGTCATGAAGTTTCTTGTACAGTTGCACCAATATACAAATTAGAATGATAATGCCTGTAACTTTTCAAATGAACATTGTTCTTTATCAACCTTCTAGTAATACTATATTCCATTTAACAGACAAATTGGTAATTTTAACTCATAAAAACCAAGAATAAATACTAAGAAAGAAAAACCGACCGTTTATCCAGTTTTAAAGAGTCTGGTATTACCTTTTCGATTGAAAAAAAAAACTCACCATCCAGAACTCTAAATGTCAAAAGTGGGTGAAGAGAAAGGGGGTCGACAGGGGTGTGTTATTATTGTTCGTATCACGGAGTTGGAAAATTGGTATGTTGGAGATTAAACCAGATTATATAGGGAAAATAGAAATGGAGGTGTAACAACGGAGGTGTGAAGGTGGTTGGCGGTGGTGGAGTAAAAATTCAGATCTGATCAGATTCACCTCTTTAAGCGATTAATAGAAATGTGAAGTGATTTGAAATTAGATTTCAAACAAAAATATAAATCAATCTGTTTATCTCGTCAATTTGCAGATATAGAGGGATATCAGTGTGCAACTTACGACCACAATTTTGGAATGGGTTTGAAATTTGATTTTGATTGTCCACGTTTTATGGAGAGGAAGAAAATGGGTGAAGTTTGGACGGGAAAATAAGATGCAGGTGTATAAGAAATCGACACGTGGCAAATAAGGTCATAAGGAGAAGACACATGGCAAGTAGATGATTCTTTTATTAAGATAAGATTATATATATAATAAAAAGCAAATGCTATGTGAATAATAGCATACTTTTGATTTTATATAGTGGCTATAATACTTTAGCATATCATAAGGTTTGGTCTTACGTAGAAAAATAAAAAAATATTTATTCTAATAAATAAAACCTAAAAATATTACATATCCATTTTTTAGCATGTCCATTGGAAATTAGGAGTTTGGTAAATGTAATTAGAAATTACCACTACATCCACCACGAAGCAAAGATAATATTTACCAAGGTTCTAAATAACATAAGGCGTGACTTTTGGGTAATGTCAAATCTCAAGTTTTTTCGAGCCTTAGCGAGCCACATTGTTTGTAAAGCGTGACTTAAGGTGATAATTTTTTATATAATTCATATTTTTATATGTATTTTCAACTATTATTTAGTTTTTTACACATATATAAATCAATGTGGGGTTTGGTAAACCTTGACGGTACATACAAGCCTTAGAGCCTTCACATGCCATGACGGAGCCGTGACGAGCTTTTTAAAACATTGATATTTTCTAATTTATAATAAATATTAATCTATTCTTTTTGTAATATAAACATTTTGAAAATATTTTTACCCGCAAAGTTCAAATATTTTACCAAATGATGATATCTTTTGCCAAAAAAAAAAATCTTTTTATTATTTAATTTTTTTAGCATAGTCCATTAGAAAACCATGTGGATGAACTAGAAATAAATAATTATTTTTATAATAATAGCCTACAATTTTATAAATTTTATAAAATAAATAATTATTTTGTAATATATGAATTTTGCAGAATAATTATTTTTATAATAATAGCCTACAATTTTGGTTATATATATATATATATATATATATATATATATATATATATATATATATATATATATGTTCTAAGTAAAACAAAAAACCCTAAAAAAATCTAAAAATCATAAAATGCTTAAAAAAAATACTTAGAGATAACAAATCTTTTTTTTTTTTTTTATATTCTTCAAAAAATCGCAACTTTTTATATAAATTCGATGAGTTTTTTTTGAAAAAAAAAACAAAAACTAAAAAATTAAAAAATAATAAAAGAATAAAAAAATATCAATTTAAAAAAAATCAGCAAATTTATAAAAAAAAAAAAGTTGCGATTTTTAAGAATATAAAATCAAAAAAAAAAAAAAAAGATTTGTGATCTTTATATATTTTTTATGATTTTTAGAGTTTTTTTAGGGTGTTTTTGGTTTCCAGATAACTCTTATATATATATATATATATATATATATATATATATATATATATATATATATATATATATATATATATATATATATATATATATATATATATATATATATATATAAAAGACGATCTAATTTTGTGAGACCGTAAGATGCAATCTTAGTCACTCATTTAGTAGATAAAAAAACATTTTTAAAATGCAAAATAATTGAAATTTTTCGAAATTTTTTTTTTTCAAATATTGTTTTCGAAATTTATATTTTCCAAAAAAAAAATAAATAAATAAATAAATAAAATACATTTTTGTACATATTCTACTAAAATATTAGAATATTCAACATATCTGAAAATGTAGTAGAATATTTTAACATTTTAAAAATCACATTAGAATATTTACAGTGTAATATTCTATTAGAATATTTCATGTATTTAAAAAAAACGGTAATTTTTTTAGGTAATTAAAGTTCCGAAAATAATAATTAAAAAAATGAATTTTTTTTATTTTTCTTTTTATTTTGCATTTTAAAATTATTTTTAGATTTGGTGTCACGGCTTCACAAAAGTAGCATGGTCTCAAATGAACCTATATATATATATATATATATATATATATATATATATATATATATATATATATATATATATATATATATATTGTAACACGCATAAAATCATATCAAATTAAAACTTTTTCAACACACTTAAAAACCATTTAACCATTACATAATTTGTTTTCAAAATAATAATCATCATAAAACATAGCAGCAGGAGGAGTAGTACGATCTGGCCTTCGCCACCAGTATAACCACAACATATAACAAATACAAAACAACATGCATAATGAGCCTTCAGCCGGACTGGACCTCTTCGCAAGGCCTACAGCCTATCTGGACCGCTCCCAAGCCTTCAGCATGACTAG